AAGCCCCTTAAGTGCCCTAATATAGTTATAATTTGGGTTGTAAGTACAGGTATAATTGGTTACTAAGTACCATGAACCTACAAGGTAGGGTCTCCTCTTGGGAATGCTCTTCGGCGACTCTGAGGGGTTGGGTGAATTCCTGGGGCGGATTCCTATAAACCCCAAACCCCAAACCCCAAACCCTAAACCCTAAACCGGTTTAGGGTTTGTATCCGGAACTGTTTGCAGAGATAGATCTCATCTGCTTGAAGCGGCATCCGTGGCTCGGTCACCACCATTTTTCGTGCCAAGCCCTGCAGGTCCTAAATCCAGGGGCCCCAAAACCCTGAAAGCCCCAAATTAACCCTTACAGCTGCTGTTCAAGCTCACAATCTCTAAACCCTAGACCCTAACCAGCTCAGCTTGGGCTGTGGAGGGTGGGGGGGAATTAAGCGCTTAGGGTGCAAGGCTTTTAGGGCTCGGAGCTGAAATGTTGGTTGGTTCTGGGGTTTTGGTAGCCCCAAGTAACTGCACCCGCGCCCTGAAGCCCGCAATCTCCCAGCCCTTCCTGCAAGCACTCAACCCTAAACCCTAAACCCTAAACCCTAAACCCTAAACCCTAAACCCTAAACCCTAAACCCTAAACCCTAAACCCTAAACCCTAAACCACCCAAGAATTGTGCCAAGGAAGGCCACAGCTTGGCTGGAAGCACTCTCCCTCCTCGGCCAGGTACCCTGGGGCTATAGGGTTTAGGGGTTTAGGGGTTTAGGGGTTTAGGGTTTAGGGTTTAGGGCTACTATTTGCTTCAGAACCCCCCACAAAAAATAGAACACATTATTCCATATAAGGGCAAGACAGGGATTGTGTTTTTTTTTTTTATAATAATTTTTTGGGGGGGTTCTTGAGCAAATAGTAGTGGGGCACGCAGTTGGGTAAGGCCGTTTGGGCTTCATGGGTTCGGGGCGAAGGAGTTGTGAACCCCAGGTTCGGGGTTTATGGGGTTTAGGGTTTAGGATCTAGGGCTTACAGGGTTTACAGGGCTGATAGGGTTCAGGGATTGGGGTTTGGGGATTGGGGTTTGGGGTTTGGGGTTTAGGGTTTAGGGTTTAGGGTTTAGGGTCGCCCTAAAGGCCTAAAGGCCTAAAAGGCCTAAAGGCCATGTGCAGGCGGCGGCGCGTCGTCTCACTCCCGATGCCTTCTCGGCCAGCGCTGTGATCAGTGCTTGCCCCTGGGAGCGCAGCTCGAGGGTTTTTTTAGGGCCACAGAGGGTTTAGGGTTTAGGGTTTAGGGTTTGGGGTTTAGGGTTTGGGGTTTGGGGTTTAGGGACCCTAAGCCCTAAGCCCCAAACCCTAAACCCTTAAGCCTTAACCAGGGTTTGGGGAATGAGTTGTGGGAGGTCCTAGAGGGCATCCTCCAGTTTGGGGCATCGATTGTAGGGATGGGGGGATCAGGTTTTGGGGTTTACGATAAGAAGGTTTTAGGGTTTAGGGTTTAGGATTGAGGGTTTGGGGCGTTTACGATGACAAGGGACCCCTCAAAAGGACCCCCAAGTAGTAGGATCCCTTATATCATAAGGACTCCCCAAGAAGGTACCCCCAGAGTGCCGCGGGGGCTTGTCGCTTGAAGATTTTTTGGGTGTTAGGGTGTTCGGGTGGCAGGGTTTAGGGATTTAGGGTTTAGGGATTTTGGGTTTAGGGTTTAGGGTTTAGGGTTTAGGGATTGTGGGGTTTAGGGTGTTAGAGTGTAATAGGGGCTCTAGGGTATTGGGGTTTGGGGTTTGCAGAAATAGCGGGTCATGTCACAGAAGCCGTACATGACATGGGTCTCGGACTTTTGAGAGCCCGATTTAATGAATATTCCTTAATTAGGGGGGGTATTGGGCTCTTTGTGGAGTGCGAAGGGAGGCGAGCTGTCCAACGAGCCGCGGAGTACAGGCGACAATGAAAGCACAGCGTCTGTTGTCAGGCTCCCCAGCACGAGCTTGTCGGATAGAGAGGATCCAGAGGATGAGGTCATCCTGGGCTGCGGACACGAGTTCTGCTTGAGCTGCCTGCACCCGTGTTCCTGCAGCGCAGAAGCTGGTCCGAGCTGCAAAGTCAGGGTTGGGGTTTTAGGGTCTAGTGCCTAGGCTTTAGGACCTTAGGAAATAGCTTTCAAACTTGGGGATTTCATGTGGTCTGTGGACCTTTGGGGTTTAAGGGCTTGGGTTGAGGTTTTGGGGGGTTTGGGGCTTTGGGGGTTTCGGATCCTGGCTTTGGTGTCTTAGGGTTTACGGCTTCAGGGTTGAGGTTGAGAGCGTTGGGTTGTCATCATTTAGGGCTTCAAGGGCTTTCGTGGTTCTGGGTCTAGGGTTCAGGGCCCTGTAGCTTACAGGTGTCAGGGGCTTTGGGGCCAGAGCACATACGTGAAATTGAAGAGCCCCGCTCAAGCACCCGAAGCCCCAAACACTGAACCTGATTGGAACACCATCTAAGTAAGGCGGCTGCCTTTCCCGGGCATAGTTAAAGGGTTTTGGGCTCTGTGAGGTTTTTCGTTTGTAACAACATTCATTCTGATTGCATACGTTGTAACCCTAAACCCTAAACCCTAAACCCTAAACCCTAAACCCTAAACCCTAAACCCTAAACCCTAAACCCTAAACCCTAAACCCTAAACCCTAAACCCTAAACCCTAAACCCTAAACCCTAAACCCTAAACCCTAAACCCTAAACCCCTCGAACAAGCCCTTGAACCCCAAGGCCTTGCAACCCCCCCGAGTCCCCATAAGCCCTCAACCCCCTACGGCCTTGCAACCCTCTGTCCCTCAACCCCGAAGTCAGACAAAATTTAGGGTTTAGGGTTTAGGGTTTAGGGTTTGGGGTTTAGGGTTTGGGGTTTAGGGTTTAGGGTTTCAACCCTAAACCCTAAAGCCTAAATCCTAAAGCCGCAAGCCCTCAAGTGCTTGAGCAACTCGGCCCCCTCGGCTCTTAGAAGGGACACAGGGCACCCCTCAGTGCCCCTTCCAGCCCTCTTAATCTTCCCAAACCTATGAGTTCTCAATCGATATTGGGGTTTAGGGTTTAGGGTTTCGGGTTTAGGGTTTAGGGTTTAGGGTTTGGGAAGTCGGGCAGCAGGAGGAATTGCCGCGTATTCATTATATGAAATCCTTGTGGGGATGATGTACGGGGTACCTCATTCCGTAGAGTTCCCGCCCGAAGCCCTTCACCCTAAACCCCATCAAGAACGAGTTATTCCAAACGCTCGGCCCGAAGCCCTAAACCCTAAACCCTAAAAAGAGCCACAAAGCCAAGGCGCCAAGGTGGCGAAGTGGCTCCACGCCCTGGCTGTCTTCACGGGCTCTGCCAGGACGTTTGTGGGGCTGAGTTTAGGGTTTGGGTTTCAGGGTTTAGGTTTCAGGGGCTAGGGTTCAGGTTTTAGGGTTCAGGGGGCTTTAGGTGGTTTAGGGGCTTTAGGGGGTGTTGGGTGTTTATTTTTAGTGTTGTTTAATGCTTTGCGTTTTTTTTGAGGGGGGGTTTCGGGTTTTGGGTTAAGGTGGCTATGTGCTGATGGCGCTTCTTGGGAAGCCGAGGGGTTCATGTGAAACCAAGCAGCGATAAGAAACAAAGAGGTTTAGGGTTTAGGTGTTTCGGATCTTCGAGTGGTTGCTGGGCTGCCTGGGGGTCATGGGATTTGTGCTTGGGGACGTAGGGTTTAGGTTCCAGGGCTTCGGGTTTGGTGTAAGAGTGTCCCCGGAACTTAGTCTGCACCCTCCTTTCCCCGCCCACAAACCCCCGTACAGAAGATACCCTACCTGGCAGCTCCCCTCTTAGAATCCCTAAAGCCCAATCACCCTTTTATCCTGAAGCCAAGACCCAAACCCTAAAATCCCCCCAAAAGGCCCACAACCCTAACAGCCTTCAATCCTAAGACCCACAAAAACTTCAACCCTAAGACCCACAAAAACTGCTAACGGCACTGAGCCCCGTAAAATCTACCCTTGGATGCCCGGTAGTACCCGGTATTCCCTTTTCTTGGGGCTTGGGGCTCCCGAACCAAGCAACTTAAACAAGACTGGGCAACCCTAAACCCTAAACCCTAAACCCTAAACCCTAAACCCTAAACCCTAAACCCTAAACCCTAAACCCTAAACCCTAAACCCTAAACCCTAAACCCTAGGACGCCGGACGGTGACCACTCCCTGGTCGCCAGCACCGCGGCCGTGGCCGCTTGTGCAGAGGGCCGGCAGCGGCTCGACCACGAGACCTTCCGATTTTGGTTTAGGGTTTAGGGTTTAGGGTTTTAGGGTTTTAGGGTTTAGGGTTTTAGGGTTTAGGGTTTTAGGGTTTAGGGTTTAGGGTTTAGGGTTTAGGGTCTAGGGTTTAGGGTTTAGGGTTTAGGGTTTAGGGTTTAGGGTTTATTGAACCTTCTGGGGTTTTGTGCTTAGTTTTTAGGGGTGTGGGGGGGTTTTCTGGGTTGTGCCACCTTTGGGTCTTGGAGATCCTTGATCTTTAGGGTTGAGGGCTTCAACCGGGGTTGAGTAGTTCAGGGGTTTAGGGTCCTTAAGTTTAGGGGTTTAGGGTCCTTAAGTTTAGGGGTTTAGGGTCCTTAAGGGTTCGGGGGGCTTCAGTCGCGGGTTCGGCTTCGGGGGTTTGAAGGGCTTCATGCTCTTTAGGGGGCTTACTTGGGGTTGTTCCCCATTACACTAGCAGGCCTTACTGGGGCTACTTTACGCCCCATTTATCTGCTGGGGGGGTTGGGGGGGGGGGGCTCCTAAGGGTTGAGGGTTAGTAGGGTTAGTGGGGTTCAAGTTTCCCAGAGGTGGGGCGACCTTTTTGGGGTCTGATTTGAGTAAGGACTGTCTTATTTTTTGGTCTGACCTGCAGGCTTGGGGCTTTTCAACATTTCAGAAGCAATGTGCTGTCGAACATCCTTTCGCTCGCTATAAAAAGAGCTACCGCCAAACCCTGAGCCATTTTGGTTTAAGCTTCGGCTCCCAAACCTCGCGCCCAGAACCTCGCTTTTTCTCGCCCCCATCCTCGTGATGTCGGGAGTGCTGGCACGCTTGGGCCTTTGTGCTGTGCTCCTGCTGCAGGGCTCTGGGGTTGCCCGCGCGGATGTGAAGAGCACCAACATCAAGCTTCACGAGGGCCTCCCCCGCGAGGAGAAGTGGAAGTCGAACGGCCACAAGGGCATCACGCTCTGGATGACGGGCCTCTCCGGCAGCGGCAAGAGCACCATCAGCGTCGCCCTGGAGCGCGCGCTCGTCGAGGCGCAGTCCAAGAGCTACTTCGTGTACCGCCTGGATGGTGACAACCTGCGGTTCGGGCTGAACAGGGATCTGGGCTTCAGCCCCAGCGACCGCAAAGAGAACGTCCGACGCGTCTCGGAGGTGTCCAAGCTCTTCGCAGAGGCCGGGGCCATCGTCGTCGCCGGGCTCATCTCGCCCTACGCCGCAGACCGCGACTACGCGCGCGAGGTCCACCAGAACGCCTCTCTGCCCTTCATGGAGGTCTTCGTGGATGCACCCCTCGCAGCCGTCGAGACTCGAGATCCGAAGGGCCTCTACAAGAAGGCCCGCGAGGGCAAGATCAAAGGCTTCACAGGCCTTGACGCTCCCTACGAGAAGCCTGTGAACGCGGAGGTGCACGTCAGAACTGACCAGCTTACAGTGGCTCAGTGCGTGAATGTGATCTTGAAGAAGCTTGACGACTACGGCATCCATCTGCAGCAGACCTTCAGGAAGTTGGATGAGTCGTCGGGCGACTGTGTGGCCGTGAAGGAGCAGTAGCCGAGGCTTTGGCGAAGCCAGGCCGGACTCGATACAAGAGACCCCCCATACTCAGCACGGTAGCTGGGTAGGCCCCCTTGGGATAGTAGATTAGATGTTCCCTTACAAGACGATCAGAGTTAGGAATATTTTTCAGAGGCTTCGAAGGGGCCAACCTACACAAACACTAAACCCCAAACCCTTAGCCCTAAACCCTAAACCCTAAACCCTGAACCCTAAACCCTAAACCCAAGGGGCCAACCTACCTCAGCAACATGTTGGAGTACCTACGGGGTCTTTGTCCCTGCGAGTCTGTGAGCAAATCGGCCGAAGCTCCGACGTGCCCCCAAAGGTTGCAGCCATAGCCAGCTCGGGCTGGGCTGACGGCCACGGTCTGAGTGTGTATATCGTATCATATCATATATATATATATATTGATTGATTGCTCATCAACATGTATATGAGTCGTATATATATACATATATATATATATATATATAGAGAGAGAGTGGTCATTTAGACATCTATGTCGTAAGTCTCTTATTTTCCCACAACCTTCCTGACGGAACACATTTCGCCCTTGAAAAAGGTGCAATGGGATAGATCCATGGTCAGCGCCGAGGTAGGCAGTGTCCCACTGCTGCCATTTAGGGTTTAGGGTTTAGGGTTCAGGGTTTAGGGTTTAGGGTTTAGGGTTTAGGATTTAGGGTTTAGGGTCAGCGTGGGGGGAGATGGAAAACAGTTCGTTTCCCTGCTGCGCGGCCAGTACTCGGAACATGGTCGCGTCAAAGCCGGCCGAGAGTCAAAAAGTCGCAATCGGGGTGATGTGGCCCGAGTGCCAGAGTCGGGGTTTAGGGTTTAGGGTTTAGGGTTTAGGGTTTAGGGTTTAGGGGTTAGGGGTTAGGGTTTAGGGTTTAGGGTCGTGCAGCCCCCAAGCCCTGAATCTCAAATTCCAAGCCCTAGTTAGCAGTGACTGCTTGGGGTCCGGGATCCTTAGATGCGAGCCCGCCCTCCCTAGCATAGCAAGTGCCCTTGGGGTTTAGGGTTTAGGGTTGAGGGGGTGATTTGAGGGTTTAGGGTTTAGGGTTTAAGGCTTAGAGTTTAGGGCTTAGGGTTTAGGGTTCAGGGTTTAGGTCTTAGGCCCTACCTTACCCCCAAAGAACTGGCAAATGCCGGCTTCGCATGATCAACGGTTCAAGTGCTCCGCCCCTAACCCCCTTGACCCCCTAACCCCCCTAACCCCCTAACCCCTACCCTAAACCGAAAACCCTAAACCTAAACCCTAAACCCTAAATCCAAGCCCTATGCGGGCTGCAACAGAGGTGGGCCCACGCACTGCAGCTGCTGTGCGACGGCCTCGCAGGCATAAGGAACTCTAGGGTGTTAAGGCGCTTTGAGCTTTTCCTACTATTTGCTTAAGAACCCTCCAACAAATTACAAATATTGTTCCTTATAAGGACAATATAGGGATTATGATGTTTATACGTTGGGTTCTTAAGCAAATAGTACTAAACCCTAAACCCTAAACCCTAAACCCTAAACCCTAAACCCTAAACCCTAAACCCTAAACCCTAAACCCTAAACCTTAAACCCTAAACCCTAAAGGGTCAAGGGTTCAGGGTTCAGGATTCTTCAGCGAGGCCACGTGCATGCAAGCACGCCGTAGTGTGCAGACATGCCCACCCCGAGACCGCCCAACCTCTAGTCAAAATTAGGGTTTAGGGTTTCGGGTTTAGGGTTTAGGGTTTAGGGTCGAGGCCAACCTGAGCCAGCCGAACCCGAGCCAGCCAAGCCGACTTTACATAATACTATGCTTCGGGTCTGTAAGCTGTGCCCGCGGAGCTTGACAAAAACAGACGAGGACCTTGTGAAAGATGTCGTAGTTTCCGAGAGAAAACTTGGGTTTTGTGGTGGGACGTCTTCGGCCGGAGGGCCCTCTCATTGCTTTCTCATCGAGTCCAGAATGCCAAGGTGCAGGGTGAAAGTCAAAAAGCAAGAAGTATCCGAGCGAAATTTTGGGTTTCGCGCTGGGGGATGTCTTCGGCCGGAGGGCTTTTTCTTCTGTTTTCATCGACAGCCTGCTGCCCCTGAGAATGGAAAGCTGTGTGACGGCTTCATTCCAATCGATCCAGCAAGCAAGGTTTTCTGCAGAAATATCCGGAGAGGCCTTTTGTTACGGTTTCTCTGCGGCGTTTTTTCGGCCAGAAGTTGTTTGCGCGTTCGTTTTTTCAGAGGTTTGATTGATGTTGGAGTCGCAATGTTGATGTCTCGTGCGATTTTGGGCGCCGTTCAGGGGATGAAAGTGCGCCGACTTTGTCGGCGATTCGTCGGTGGCCAGGGGCTGGCCCCTAGAGCAATGGGCAGGCAAGAACGAGGGAGAGAGGGAGAGAGGAGAGAGGGAGAGAGGGAGAGAGGGAGAGAGGGAGAGAGGGAGAGAGGGAGAGACGGAGAGAGGGAGAGAGGGAGAGAGAGAGAGAGAGGGAGAGCGGGAGAGAGCGAGAGCGGAGAGGGAGTGAGAGGAGAGAGAGGGGAGAGAGGGAGAGAGGGAGAGAGAGGAGAGGGGCGAGGAGAGGGGAGAGGGGGAGAAGAGGAGAGAGGGAGAGGAGAGGGGAGAGATGGAGAGAGGGAAGGGGAGAGAGGGAGAGAGAGAGGGAGAGAGGGAGGGGGAGGAGAGAGACGAGAGGGAGAGAGGGAGAGAGGGAGAGAGGGAGAGAGGGAGAGAGGGAGAGAGGGAGAGAGGGAGAGAGGGAGAGAGGGAGAGAGGGAGAGAGGGAGCGAGGGCTGTTCCAATTATTATGGCCCACTATATTACCCTTGGCCCTTTAAATCCGGTTGTTTTCGTCGTAGACCCTAAACCCGAAACACTGTTTAAATGGGTTAGGGTTTGGGGTTTAGGGCTTGCTTGTCTCGTAGGCCCCAAAACCCGAAACCCTAAACCTTTAGCTGGAAGCGAGGGCGCCTCGAGCTGACCGCTCTGCCCTGCAACGCGGCGCTGGCAGGGCTGCAAGGAGTTGTTCCTAGGCTTTAGGGCTTAGGGTTTAGGATTTGGGGTTTGGGGTTTGGGGTTTAGGTTCCAGGCTCCGGGGTTTTAGGGTTTAGGGTTTAGGTTCTTTAGGTGTTGCTTCAGGGCCTCAGGTGTTTTTAAGGGGTTTGAAGGTTAGGTTTTGGGGGTTTGGAGGTTAGGGTTTATAGGGTAAGGGGCGTTAAGGTGGTACTAGGGCTCACTGTTCTTGTGAGGGTTTCAGGGCCTTAGGACTTCGGGTCTAAGAACCTGCAAGGAGTTTCGAGAGTGTGTCAGGATTCGTGCTGAGCTAAAGCCTTGGGCCCTAAGCCCCTAAACCCTGGAAGGCTTAAGCCCGAGACCCTAGCCCTCCTACACCCCAAAACACCAAACCTTAAACCCCAAACCCTAAACCCCAAACCTAAACCCCAAACCTTAAACCCCAAACCCCAAACCCTAAACCCCAAACCCCCAAACCCTAAACCCTAAACCCCAAACCCTAAGCCCCAAACCCTAAACCCCAAACCCCCCAAACCCCCAAACCCTAAACCCCAAACCCCCCAAACCCCCTAAACCCTAAACCCCCAAGCCCTAAACCCCAAACCCCAAACCCCTTAAACCCCAAACCTAGACCCCAAACCCTAAACCCTCAACCCCCAAACCCCAAACCCCCTAAACCCCAAACCCTAAACCCTCAACCCTCAAACCCCAAAACCCCAAACCCCAAACCCCCTAAACCTTAAACCCTAAAACCCCAAACCCTAAACCCTAAACCCGAAACCCTAAAACCCTAAACCTAAACCCTAAACCCTAAACCCTAAACCCCCCAAACACCCTAAAACCCTAAAACCCTAAACCCTAAACCCCCTAAACCCCAAACCCCAAACCCCAAACCCTAAACCCTAAACCCTAAACCCTAAACCCTAAACCCTGAACCCCCAAACCCTAAACCCCAAAACCCCAAAAGCTCCTGGGAGGAGCGACGCTGTGGCTCCGATCCCTGGACCTCCTCGGGCGCATGCGGGCGACTGCTTTGCACCTCGGAGTGTGTTTTCGGGTTTGGGGGATTTAAATATTTGGGGGGTTTAGGGTTTAGGGTTTAGGGTTTAGGGGTTTAGGGGTTTAGGGGTTTAGGGGTTTAGGGGTTTAGGGGTTTAGGGGTTTAGGGGTTTAGGGGTTTAGGGGTTTAGGGGTTGGGGGTTTAGGAGTTTAGGGGTTTAGGGGTTTAGGGTTTAGGTTTTAGGGGTTTAGGGGTTTAGGGGTTTAGGGTTTAGGGTTTAGGGTTTAGGGTTTAGGGGTTTAGGGTTTAGGGGTTAGGGTTTAGGGTTTAGGGGTTAGGGGTTTAGGGTTTAGGGTTTAGGGGGTTTAGGGTTTAGGGTTTTAGGGTTTAGGGTGTTTGGGGGGTTTAGGGTTTAGGGTTTAGGGGTTTAGGCGTTTAGGGGTTTTGGGGTTTTGGGGTTTTGGGGTTTTGGGGTTTTGGGGTTTTGGGGTTTGGGGTTTAGGGTTTAGGGGGTTGTGGGTTTAGGGATTACGGCGTTTAGGGTTAGGGTTTCGGGCGTTTAGGGTTGAGGGCGTTTTGGTTTTGGGTTCAGGGCTTCGGGTTTTGGGGGGGTTAGGGGTATAGGGGAGGAGGAGGAGCTCAGAATTTGCAGTTAATGAGGTGAAATGGGTTTAATGCAAATTATGTTTTTTTTTGGGAGGGTATGGGAGGGTGTGTAGGGTTTGCGTTTTCAGCTTTGGGTTTTTTTAGGTATCATGCGGGCCCGTGGCTTGCAAGGGCTTGGGAGTTGTCATTTTCGAACATCGCACCGATCTTAAACCCTAGCTGAACCTCAAACCGCCATGATATGGCTTAGGGCTTAGGGCTTACGGCGTAGGGCTTGGGGCTTAGGGCTTAGGGCTAGGGTTTAGGGCCCAAAGCAGGCCCTTATGTCCAGGGCCTTAGGGGCCCAAATCCTACTACATCCGAGGAGTACAGCCCGGAAACCTCAACCCCCCCCCCCCCTAAAGGGGCAACTTA